AGGTGAAGTCAGGTTAAATTGGTCAGAGGGAAGGTACAGAGATAACAGGAAAGTACTGAGAAGATATGGTTTACAGATTTCTGCATAATTTTTGAGGAAGTGAAGTTTATCTGCCACTCTTGAATGAACCTGCTTCTGATTTTTATTTTTAAAAAAGCTGCTGTTGTCAAGAAGAAATGTCTTGTTTGGCATTTCAAGAGACTTGGTTCCTTAATTTTTTCAAGTCCTTGTCAGATTCACAAAAATAGGTGTTCATAAGTTTACTGTCCAATACACTATTCAAGTTCCAGGCTTGAATGAAGAGAAAATGAGACTGACAGATTACTCCATTATTTCTGAAGAAGTTGAGTCAAGTTTGCTAAGTAAAATTTTCAGCATAATTAATTATCTCTATCAAAAGGAGTTGTCTGTTATCTTTTTGTGAAATTTCAGAAAGACAATTGCAATTGAAATTTGGGACAGAAACTCATCAAAAAATATTTTGCTAAAATCGCATCTCAACGGACTGAAAAGACTCATGAACAAAAGCCTCGTAAAAAAATATCTTCTAGATAATTTTTTTTTCTAAATAACAAACCAAAGCAGGTGAAGGACAAAAACGGCACGATGCAAGTCCCAGGACATTCTTGTCTCGGATCAGGCGCCTCAGTAGTGGTCGTGGTTGTCGTAGTCGTCGTCGTAGAAGTCGTACTCGTCGTAGCAGGTCTCCTTTGCGAACCCAGAGGCCTATTCCCATTCGGCGACATGGTATCCGGAGACAAGAGCCCCAACAGGGTTCCCAGAGAGCCCAGGGGAGAGGAAGACGACATGGGCGGGGGTTTCCTTTGCAGGGGCTTGTTTCTCGGCGGGCCTTGCTGAAGCGGCGGCTGGGGGCGTCTGTTGTTGTTGTTGTTGTTGACGGGCCCTGGGCCAGCACCACCACCACCTGGCCTTTCCACGCAGCACACCGACCCTTCTTCACACGTGGTCTCTGGGAGCAGTCTTGCCGGTGACGTGCAGAATGTCGACATCAGAAGAGACACGCATCTACAATCACATAAATAAATCATTCATTTAAACTCTGTTACAACAAACTCCCACAGACCTCTTGAGAAATTCTTGCAACAAAATTATTTTTTTATCTTTCTAGAATCTAGATTGAATAAAGGATACAGTTTTGGAGGAATTGATTGTATGATGTTTCTCTTGTATTGGTAAGAGGAGTGTTGGGCATGCACACCTTGTAAAGTAATGTACTCAATTCTTAGAAGTAAAAAGTAATTCCCCCTCCTCAAAATCACAGTCCCAGGAACACTGACCATATCTTTTCTGTTCTGATTCTAATAGTAAAACCTAATGAAGGTTAATTATAATTGGTAGTATATAAGCAGCTCCTTTTCATTATCATTATCAGAATCAGTTTATCAATTGTGTTACTCAAATTATTCAGCAAGTAGAGTTTGATTGAGTTGTTTACTCACTTTTTTCTTGAAATATACGTTACCCTTTAAACTAGGAATTCCTAAATGGAATACCGGTCCAGTCCGGGACTGACTAACATGTCTTTATTATCTTTTAATCAGCACTTGACACAAAATTATATTGAGGCACACTTTTCCCCAATATAAATTGGTACTACTTAGATTCAACCTTCACTGGTTTCCCCTGACTCTCCCCCCAGCTTTATGGAACAGAGATTCAAAGAGAAAGGGTGGAGCTCCCAGGCAGGCAGGAGAATTTGGGTGAAACCATCTGTACATAGAAACAATTTAAATGGATCCTGTTCAAGAATAAAAAAGGATCCATGGCAACAGGGTAAGAAACACCAGTAGCAGGCAAGGAGAAGGATGGAGTCATATTGCTCCCAATACAGGATACATTTTTGTAGGGAATGATGAATTGATTGTTTGTTTCTCCTGTATTGGTAAGAGGAGTAATGCAGTGAGACCCAAGATGCAGATGTACAGTAATTGGTGCATCAAGAGTGTCCCCAAGTTGAAATGTCCTTTAGTCAAGTCTCATTTTCCCTCAGACTTATATTATATAATTTTAATTGGTTTTTTATGTACAAAATACTCAGTATAATTCCATGAAAATAAAAATTGTCTCCCAATTTAAACTGATTAAATCAATATATTTCAACACAATATGGACATTTGGGGAATTGGATACTGATACCCCTTTACAGTACATGGAAATGTAGGCATTCCCTGTAAAAATAACATTCAAGTGAAAAAGAGAGAAGGAAGTCTCTCTATGCTGGTGGTAATTTTTTTAAAGTAGCTAAATGGATGGTGAATTGGTGAAAGAAATGCCCAAGAACTTTTTCTACATCAATTTTAGGGTTGGAAATATCTCTTTCTTGTAATATGGCCTGAAATGTATTTGCAATTTCATCAGAAAATGTCCCCACGTTGAGTCAGTGTCCTTGTGTTAAGCCTTTTAAAGTAATTTTTACAAGAAAATAAGCAACCCTGTGTCAAATTGTCCACAGGTTGAGGTGTCCGCATGTGGGGGTTTCACTGTACTTACACTTAACCTTCACTAGTTTCTCCTTACTGTCGTTTAATGCCTTGTTGCTCAGAACTTTTGGGACTAACACTGTTTGAGGAACAGTGCTTCAAAGCGCAAGCGTAGGTCCATAAGTTTTGAAAATTTTTGAAATAGATCCAACAGGGTTTCAACAATTCCAAATTTGTGTTTTCACTTGCATAGCCCCATATTTTGGGAACAATTCAGTGCTGTTGAAATTGCCAATTTCAATACATTCTTTTCATGTGATAAACCCAATGATCAAAACAGTGTCAAAAATTGAAGCTTCCCTTTGACAGATGAAATGAGACTGTCACAGTGATCATGCTTCACCAACAAGAACAGCCAGAATTTTTTTTCCCACTAAAACTCACCTGCCGGGACAGTTGGGTTTTGCCTTATTCTGCACACCAGTCTGCTGCTGCCCTGGCCCAGTCCCCATATTCTCCCTAGTCAGGCAACACTGGCCACCAGACGGACAAATGGACTCCGTGTCGATTTTATCACACAAAAACGTAAAGAAGGAGCCGACGCAAGTGCCCTTGCAGCGTTTGTGTGCTGGGATGGGGCCATGGTATTCTGTCGGCGGCGGGCCTTTGTTCTGCTGCTGTTGACCAGCTGGTTTCTGCTGTGACCTGCATTCGGAGGAAGAGAGAATGTGAATAACGAACCTTCAGTCGAACCATCAATTTGGTGTCTAGATGTCGCCTCCATCTCAAAAAGTCAATACTGAAAGTGAGGACAAAGAGTTTTTTGAAAGAAAAAAAAAAACAGAGGCTAGACTGAAACCCAGAGCAGTAATCCTCCACGACTTTTTTCATCAAAATTTAATTTGATTCTCATATACGGCCCCAGTTGAAAATTCAGCATCAAAGGTGAAAACACGCTGATAGTTGCAGAAAACGCAAGATTGCACAGTTCACTGATGTTCACTGTACAGAGTACTAAACAGCCATTCATTAGGAAAGGCTCAAGTTCTTTTTTTCTCTCAAGAAGGAACTGTGAAGTCACTCACAACCATTTTCCATTATCCCAAATTTTCTAGAGAAAAAATTTCTTCTTCCTTTTTCTGGATACACTCTGTACATAAGTTTCTTACAAAGCGCTACAGAAAAACAAGAGATTCAGTTGGACCTTGAAAACTCAACCCTCCTTCAGTCAAAAACCTTTCTTTTTGTCATTTATATTTATTCCCTGTCTTAATTTCAAATCTATTGTAAAACTCCCAAAACTCAAAGACTCCCCTCTTCAAACCTCCATTAGAAAATTTATTGTAGGCCAATGGTTTCGAGAAAATGTTTTTGCAATGTCATATTCAGTCATTAACCCTGTCTACATTGAAAAACCAGAGACACAAAGAAATGTTCTTCACGGGACAAGAAGCTTTCATGTCTGTGAACACTTGATACCGACACAACGAAATGTAGAAAAAGCTTTTCTGATGTAATACTCGACTCCAAAAACAATAGGACCACCTAAGGTTGACAAGATCATTCTCGAATAACCAAGATCTAATTAAATCAGGATTCAATTATTTTACTCTTTACACCAAAATGGTACTTTCCTCTTATCTCAGTACCTACTCTGCAAGACTGCACTACCATCCAGACAAATCTTTAGGGCAAGTTCATAATCACAACAACCTACCAAAAACTGAATTTTATTTTTCTGCATACTGCTGAAACTGATTTTGGGAGGCAATCAGGTAAAGTTAGGTTAGGTCAGGTTATGTTAGTTACAAATATATTTTACTTAACATAACCTGACCTAACCTAACTTTACCTAACCGCCCCCCAAAATCAAGTTTCAGCAGAAACCCAAAGAAAACAGGAACTGATTTTGGGAGGCAGTTAGGTTAGGTCAGGTTAAATTGGTCAGAGGGAAGGTACAGAGATAACAGGAAAGTAGGTACTGAGATAACAGGAAAGAACCAAAAAAAAAATCACCATTTATTGTTCGCAAATCCCGGCTGCGGAGATGGCCGGTTGTTGGCACCGACTCCCTGCCCCATCCCTGCTTGCGACGACTGATGATGATGCTGCTGCTGCTGTTGTTGCTGCTGAACACTCGGACTTTCATTCAGCACCAGGTCCTTCGGAGGATCCTGTCCTTCAAAGACCTCACGCGTGACACAGCATCGCAACACGCCCTTGCAGAGCCCGTGTCGAGTGAGTACTGCATCGCAGTACTCGGAGATACTGGGTGCCACGCAAACCCCCGGACACTCGGCCAAACTATCACCGCCAGACACCTTCTCCACCACAGTGTCCATGTACTCAATGTCTTCTTCATTGTCGCCCTTGTTCCCACCGATCGTGTCGACATTGTCGGCTTGCTTCTCTGGCAACGGGGCGAGGGTTGCCGACGTGATTGATTGGGTGACTGCAGGTGTCAAGGGAGCTTTTCGTGTCGTCGGAGCCTCTGGAATTTAAAATACACATTCAACACATTTGAATAAATTTCAATGCAAAAAAAAGGGGTCGTTCTGCGAGTTACGCGTGTTTCATGATTTCCATCGTCCGGCCCGGACACTCACCAAAACGTGGCCTTCAGGCTATTTTTCATTGCCAAGAATTCGAAAAGCAATAAATACAATCCAACCTCCTTACGTCATTTTTTTTTTGTCAAGTCCCAAGCTGAATGCGCTCTGAAACAATTCAATAAAAAATGTCCCTGACTCAAGAGGCTTTCCCACCCAAACCTGCATAGCTTGAATTTTTAAATCATCATTGATTTATTATTCCATTGAAACAGGATAGATAAAAGCAATAAAATGTAACTTGATGTGTTTTGGACAGAAGTGAAGGATTCTTTTGGCAAATGAACCCTTGCCTCCAAGTTCAACACCCCGCCAACTCATTTAAAAAGCAATTTTAGGCCTGGAACAACAGGCTCTGGCACAACTCACTGCACCTTTACTTGCTGCAGCTGTGCTTGCCGCACCAAAAGTTGCTGCCGATACAGCTTGCTGCTGTCATCACTTGCTGCTGTAACAATCTGCCACAAGCCCAACTCACAGCAGAAATAACCTGCTGCTGATACGAGTTGCTACAATTAAATTTAATACTGCAGCATATTTGAGAGTTCACAAAACATAAGAGAGGTTCACTATTCATGGATAAATTCATGGAAACACCCTCCAAATATTCCATGAGTGTTCTTGAACTATGTGAAATCAACAAACTTTGAAAATTCTTGGAAATGTTTCTGTATTTTTCTTTTAATTCATAGGGTTCTTTTCCTTTTTTACTGCAGCATATACAGTTATTTGGTATGCTTCTTCCTTTTTAAATGCATTGATTAATTTCCAAATTGAATTCCTTTAAAAGATTACATTTAATCATGCAAGATGGGCATTATTCATGTGTGCATGGCAAGTTATTGCAGTGGTGAGTTGCATGTGCAGCAACTTTACTTGCCTTAGTTATTCTGGCAAGTTATTGCAGCGGCAGGTTGTCTGTGCAGCAAGAAATGACTGCAGCAAGTCAGTTTTGCAGCAAGTTATGACAGCGGCAAGTAGGTGTGCTGAGTTCTGAGTGCAGCAAGTTCTAGAGCGGTGAGTTGTGTCAACACAGGAACAACACTATTTACGATTTTTCTGCTACTCTTCTTTGTGTCCCTCAAGAAAAATGCTTCTTTCCCAAACTCATTTCGCTGCCCCCTTGAAGTGGTACAAATTGGACATGAATAAATCCCAAGGGTCCTTCACTACACACCCGTCGTCGTCGTGGAAGTCGTTGTGGTGGTAGTTTTAGCACTAGTAGTCGTTTTCTTTGGCGTAGTAAGCGTCGGCCGTTTCGTAGTACTTGGCTTTTTGGCAGTGACAGCTTGACGCCGCGTAGTCGCAGATTTTGGCCTTGTAGTCGTCAACGTCGTCGTTTTCTTCGCAGTCGTCGGAACTGGGGTAGTAGTCGTCGAAGTACTTGTAGTCGTGGATACCGTCGTCGTAGTAGTAGTCGTAGTAGCCGGAGAGATGATCCTAGTGTTCGCCTGCTGTGGGCGCCGCGTCGTGGTGGACGGAGGCGGCGGCGAAGACGAGGCGTCACTGGCAGCGACATCTGGCGACGACAACGCGGCTCGGTCTACGCAACAGCGCTCGTCGCTCTTCATGCAAGCATTCGGACTGGTGTCGACTTCATCGCACAAAAACGCCGCCAGGGCATTGAAACACGTGCCACGGCAATTCGGGTCTTTCGAGGTCGTCGTGATGCTTGACCATAGACCTGACACGAGAAAATTCAAGAGCGTAAGACGAGAAAACCCGTAACAGAGTCGCTCTAGTGCCTCACACGCACTACTATTTCCCGGAAAATTCAGAACTCGACAAATTAACAAAACACGCAAGCGATGAAATGGAGACACACGTCACTTAAAAAAGAATATACTCAGAGATTCACATCCTCGATTGATACTGACTTCAACAAGCCCAAAGATTAAAAAAAAAAAAAACGATCCAAAGATATCAGAAACCTTTGGCGCAGTAATTCGTGATCATGACATGTAACTCACTGCCAAGAACACTGCCCAGACTCGGAGCAGACGGCGAAATGGACGGAGGAGTCGGTCTTCGTGATGGGTTTCTCAGGGGATTACCCACGTCAAAAGAACCAACTTGTCGGGTTTCTGGGGTACCAGGACTTATTTCCTCCGTTACGGCTGTGGTTGATAGCACCGCTCCCAAAATGAAGCAGAAGAAACAAACGTCCAAGAGCTTCTTTCGAATAGCGCATCCGATTTCCATATTTCCTGGGATCATCACTTCTTTCGTACCACAAATAAATTACGGATTAACTTCACTCAGGCCAATAAGAGAGCCTTAACGCAGCATACCGACATCATTGCACATACCATTCAAGTCTGTTGAGAACGAGAAGAATTGTTGTACGGAGTGCACTATTTCAATTTAATTCGAAGAGGCTTCCATGCAACAATTCTCATGGATACAATCACAAATTCCTTCAGTAAGAAATTCCTGCATGACACTGCACTTTAATCCTTCCGTGCCGGTATGAACTTTCAAATACCGATCAAGGAGAAGAACTGAGCATGACAACAGCAAACACGCGAAAATGCTGATGCCGGAGCATGACGAGATTCATCGCCCCGCCCTGCCAACATAATTCACAGACCAGGAAATGAGGAATGTAACCAGGATTAGGAACTTCACATTTCCAATGAAGTGCAGAAATACTACCGCACATTCATTCAGGAATGTTGGGAACACACCTGTGACGCAACGTTACCGTACAACTTCTACTCAACGCCGCTCCATTCAGGGCTACCTCTTCCACGCCACCTCTTAAGAGCACCAGTCTCTCAGTGAGTGACTTTAACTGCAATGGTTTTGTGGTGTAAAATGTATATGGAGACTCCAAGGGACAAATAACAGTGCACATTTTAAAATGAATAAAATATGCTATCTAGGGAAACTCTGATGGACCAATAATAGTTTAAGTATTTAAAAAACCATTTTCAAAATAATGAAAAATTTTGAATATTCAAATAACAGCGCAAATTATGTGAATAAAAAGTTGATGAACATTTAATACCAAATCTGTACAGTTGTGGTTTTTAATATTCTTCAAATAGTCTTTATACTATTTGAATGTACATAATTATTAATACAGTGTTTATATCTGTCAAATACTCTAAATAAATACATATACTGTAAATAAATACATATACTGTACATACATGTATTTTGCTGGGATTTGTAAAGCTTTTGGAAATGCTCCATTAAATTCTTGCCTGCACATTCTTCATCAATAAATACACTATAAATGAGAATAGGTTTCATTATGCTTTGACATAAATGGACAGAAAAACTGTAGTTTTTGTGATGGAATATTGCATGAGTCAAAATGTATTCTTTTCAACTTTCCTATTATTGCCTTTTTGTTCAAACACACTCTCTTCCTTCTCAACCCATTAAACCTGATTTTTCAGAACTTCCAAAGCTATAATTAATGCCTTGCTCCAAATTCAAACCACATTTCTTAGAATGGGTTTAACATTTGAAAAACCTATGGAACAACCCATCTTATCATTTCAAAAATATATGGACAAATAATTTTTTCTTATGACTGTAGTTAGTATATACCTGCTACACTCATCCTGAATAAGGGCTGTATTCCCAATTCGTGAAGTCACTCATGCACAACCGCAAGAGAGAGAGTGTTTGGTGCCAGGCGTGAGGGGATGGGGCGGGGGGGGCGGGGTGACCTGGTCTGTGATCCCTTTCTCAATTAAATGGTGCCCCAGTAGGTCCAAGGGTTTTTTTGAGTGGGCTAATGGTATATATAGACATTGTGTTTTGCTGTCATTTTGGGGGCAACAAATGGAAATCAATAAACGAGGTGCATTTCCCAATTTGACTGTACATTTATCAAAAATTGAACCCAAAACTCAAATCAAATGCTTTTTTCCAAGTGTTGAATGAAATTATCATTATTAGCATGTTTTTATCATCTAACACTGATTTAGAGTTATTGCCCAAATGAAGAGCCATTCTTTGTGCGACCCCAAAAATGGTGCACACTGGGGTCAAAACTGGTGTACAGCTATTCTAGGGTTACAAGCATGAACCTTTGTAGTTAAATTTTGCTGTCATTCCTGGACTACATTTGCATGGTGCACAGGCACTATGGGGATATGTTTGTAATTCTACAAAGTGACCCTGCTGTGCACCTACTACTACCACTAAAGTTGTACTAAAGTTTAGTGTACTAAAGTTCTTCTGTTGCACATGCGTATCCAAATTCTGCTACCATTCCTGGACTACATTTGCATGGTGCACAAATTGTGACATAACAGGAGCATCACACAAATAAACCAACTGTAACCTTGGTGTAACTTATTTGTTTACAAATGTGACCCTGAGTAATCCTGGTGTGAACACACAATTGGTGCACATTGGGGATATGCATGTGCAACAGAAGAACTTTAGTACACTAAACTTTAGTACAACTTTAGTGGTAGTAGTAGGTGCACAGCAGGGTCACTTTGTAGAATTACAAACATATCCCCATAGTGCCTGTGCACCAATTTTCCCACTTGTGTGTTTTAAGAAAATGGTGAATTTGGGATAGTTATTTTTTAATTAAAACAAATGTTTATAACTGTCCATAAATTTACATACAGTGAAATCTTGTCACAATACAAGCCAGCTGTGAAAAACCTTTGCTGAAACAAACCAACAATTTTCATGAAAGCATGGTTTCAACAATATGGGCTATTGGGCAGAGACCAGCAATAATTAACAATGAGCAAATTATTGAGTTTTATCCATAGTGATGGCTTAATCCATGGATAGCTCCCTTTACTTTTCATTTATCCCACCAATCAACAGCAGCTCCTGCGAAATTATCCATTTTGGAGTTATCCTCAGCTCCCTGCTGCTGGATATATAGCTTCCACAGCTAAGAAGGATACAGGGAACTATTTTCTCTAAAGCAGCCACATTAATTCTGGCTAAGAGCTGAGACTGATATTCAACAACAGTTGACTGTAGCTCACTGGACTATATATATTTGCTTTCCCTCAGGTTGAAATGAATCACTTTGAACCTAAACATATAATTCTTGCTACAACAGCTAGTGCACTTTAGCAAACAAATCCCACAACAATAATACCCCCTTATTCATGCTGTTTCTGGAGTTGTCTATATAACTCAATTTCAACTAATTGGTATTTATTTAGTGGTATATCTTTTTTTACTTTGGGAGTTGGATTTTCCTTGGACTTGTCTATACAACCTATTGATATTATGGCTAAATTTAATACTATATAATCCCAGCAAATAATTTACCTGTATTTTCACCTGTAAATCACCCATCATACCTGGGTACCAGTCACCCATATTGGAATACAGGTACTGGGTCAAAAAAATGGGTGATCACCTATGAAACTACCCATTTTGGAATATAGGTGTTTTTACAGGTGAATGTGCTGAGCACCTGTATGTTCCTTATGCCTGCTTTGTTAAAATTTAACTGAGATTCAGCCATAATATACCTGTAAAGCACCTGTATTTTTGAAAACTGGTGAAAAATAAGCAGCGGCGCGCCATTTATACAGCATTTATATCTAGTGGCCCATATGCTGTATAAATGGCGCGCACCATCCATACAGCTGTATAAATGGCATGTGCTGTTCATACAGCATTTATCTAGTGTCCCATATGCTGCATATAAACAGCACAGACCACTCTAAAGTGGTATGCGCCATTTATTTAGTGGCTCAGATGCTGCCACATACAGCTGTATAAATGGCATGTGCTGTTCATACAGCATTTATCTAGTGGCCCATATGCTGCATATAAACAGCACAGACCACTCTAAAGTGGTATGCGCCATTTATTTAGTGGCTCAGATGCTGCCCACTTTTTGCACAGTGTTGCATCAAAAATGTAGCGCATTTACTGTTTCTTATTCAATTAAAACTATCTAGGCATACACACACACCAGTAGGACAGCTCACACACACATAAACTCACAAGGGCAACAGACAAATATCAACAGACACAGATATTCCCCAGACAAAATACAAGGACAATTTTTGAAATTTTTTGAATTTTTAAAAATTATTCTCCATCAGTTGATGAAAAGCTCAACCCAGATTACTGCTGCCACAAATTCCATGTGCTCCTTGAAGAAAAATGGAAAAATCTTCACCTTGAAGACAGTCTGTGACAGCAGTACTTGAAGTTCCACTTATCTATATAGCAAAGTCAAGTTTGTTTTCATTGCGAAAATGAAGAAAATAAATAACCTCATTCGTTGCTTGAAAATTGGATCAGTAGCCCTTCAATATTCTCATGTCAAAACTTCTCAGCTTCCTTGTAGACGAATGCCAGCTCCAAGGGATGCAGCCATCGCTGAATTTCCATCAGTGCAACCCAAATGAAGAAAAAACTTTGACTCGGATTATATATACTGCTGCCACAAACTCGGTGCGTTGCTCAAAAAGGAAGAAGAAAAAACAACGAAAAATCATCGACTCCGACGACGACGAAGGCATGCAGTACAGTACAGAACTTGAAGAGTCTCGCCTGTGGTTTCTCCAGTGAAGTGACGTCTATATTCTCTTATATTTGTGCGATTGAAAAAGAAATGTTTTCGTATTGCTCAATAATAAATGTGAGATTATACAGATCAATCTTCACTTCAAACTTTTCAGCATTTTTCTCATCGGAAAGACTGCACGTTATATTAGTTACAAAACCAAGTTGAAATTATTCCTCTGAATCTGCTAATTTTCACGCAAAAAGCAGAAACCTGCCGCAAAAATAAGACGGGGTTTGGCTAGGATTATACATTTCGGGAAGTGTCTCTTTGAATCCACCATCAAAGTTCGTTATAGTGCTAATATATATACAGCGTTTTTCTTTTTCAGCCACGACCCGTCTGAGGCTGTTCCTGTTCTCAAAATCAGATCATTATCGACAGTCGGGAACAGCGAGAATTAAGTCACAGAAATGTTTTTCTCAGGTCCAAATTTCATCACCAAAAAATGGTATTCGATAAAAAAAATGCACGGCACCGTACTGTGTTTTACTCTGGCTGTTCGCCGTTGATTTTGAGGACGGCGACAGCCTCATTTTCATCGTCAACCAAGAGCAGCTTGATCAACAAACGCAATCATCAATTTATGGCACTGTTATTTCGATCCTAGGATTTGTTGCATGAAAAAAAATTTAAATCAGCGGAGACTGCGTTGCATTAAAAGCACATACTGAAGTGT